AGGAACGAAAGTGCACTGTATGGGGTTTTTAAATTGAGCCCCGGAGCGGGGCGCAGACCCAAAGCTTTCAACTTCTTGAAAATGGCGTCCATCTAGTGGACACAACTCGATATTACAGCAGCAAAACCCAACGGCTTCTTAACAGGTATGCTAGCATTGCCTATATGTATAAACGTGATTTTTTTTTTTTTTAAATGAGATAGGTTTATTTGCAAATTCTCGAAGCTTGCGAGAGAGTTTCTCTGATGGATTGCTTTTCTCAATAAGCTTATCGTTCTTGATGGAGATACAGTCTCACTTTTTTTTTTTTTCAGATGCTTACCTACATCCTGATGCTGCTGCTGGTGTTTTCTTCAAGTTCAAAATCTGGACTTTGGCTGGTTCCCTGCTGATAAATTTACCACCAGAGAGCACGTAGAAATTTTGGAGAAGAATGACTGATCACTGTCTGAGAGATCTAAACCATATAAATGAATTAAAGGCGCAGTTCTGCAATCCCTCTCCATTTGCTTCAGCAGACATTACAGCAGGAAGACTCCTGAGAGACTTAAATGAATCCTCTTACTGGTGTGCACTAGATCTTGCTGCCTAGGAGATGTACAGCTGGCATATGTAATAGCACAGCGTACCTGAGCTGTGTTTAACAATAGGAGCCCTGTGAAACAGAAAGGTGAAATCTTGAGTTAGCATGATTAACAAACAGGTTTTCGTACCAATTTTATTTATGAAGACTAATTGTGTGTATCCCAAGTCCCTCATCATCTTGACTACCACAACCCATTGAAGTAATTGTAGGTCAGAGAACAAGAAACAAATCACAAAACCCTTTTGAAAATGTCATGCGATTTTGAGACCATCTAATCAAAATTATTTAAAAGTAAAATGTTTTGTGGCACCAAACCAAAGTGTTGGACTGCCAGAAAAGGGAATCCTGCTGCATTTCACATTCTCCCTTCATGTCAACGTGGAAAGGCAAGCACTGTTGCTGCCTTTATGCTGCAGTCATCTATTCTCCCTGGATCTTCTCTCTACCCGTGCTGCCTGAGTGAAGTGAGTAACTGATAGATCCATGTCTCTGAATCCCAGCCAACACAGTGATCATTTACTTCAGTTGTTTAACAGAAGAGCTGTGACCACAGCGTAACTGGAAAGTGGTTGCAAGTCTTGTTTTGATGGTCTCGGAGCACCAAGTGTCCTGCTGTGCATGCTCTTTTTCTCCTTCAAGTACCTGTATCAGGCTAATTAATTACCCGGTGAGCTGTGTTGTCCCTAATGCTTTGCTGAATGAGTAGGGCAGCGTTCCCAACCATTAACTTCTCTTAAAAATTGATATTTGCAATTTGACAAGATATTTTCTTCTTGTGATGTGTTTTGTATGCTTGTTACAGTCAAGAAGCTCCACTGAAATGGAATACCTCTAGTGAGAAGCTTCAGGGTTACCAACTGAGCAATTCTGTATGAAAAACACTTACATGTTCTCAACAAGTTTCAGTTCTAACAGCCTTTTAAGGCTGCTCTACACAGAGAAAGTCAACAAAAGCCTACTCAAGTTGTCATTTGAACAATTCAAAAACATAATAAATAACTAGACAATTGGTAAGTGATATGTTGGTGTGTGTTGGTGCTTAACTATATGCAATGGTTTAACTTTCTGATTTGACTTACTTAAAATTCACCATGTGCATTCAGCTTCCTTTTTTTGAGAGGGAAAGCCACGAATGAATGTAAAACTTTATTCTCTTTTGCATATCAAAAATGTTAGTATTGCTGTTAATACTATTATTCATAGAACACCAATTTTATTCCTTGCATATAGCAATAGAAAAAAGTACTATAATATCTAAGCATCTTCCAGCTGTGCATGGTAATGTTTACGTTCTCTTCAGAGAGGTGCAGGTGTGAAGGCACAGAGTTGGTTCAATTACTAAAATAGCTATACATGTCGCTGTGTATGTTTTAGAGAAAGCAATTCCTTATATCTGATGGAAGTAGTATTGAAGTTTGCAAGGACTCTGGGGGAGGCTGTCCCCTTTTTATCTGCAGAAAGTTCTGTCTTCTCTAGAGATTTGCATCACCTTCGCTCTATAGAGCTCTGGGAGCTCAGCTCTCACTCTGGAGAGGCAGAAACCTCATGCCAAACAGGCTTTGTTTCCAACTAGTTTTCAGTATGGAGCATTAGGTAGCCTTTCCAATGTCCTGGAGTGATCTCCAGGCACTGACCATGACAGCAAGTGAAACGTATATCAAAACTACTCCTGGACCATAAGACGTATTTTGATATTGCTTTGCTATATAGATGCTATTCAGAACAAGTGGAATATCTCAGCCAAGGTTAAATATTCTGAGAAAAGAGCAATTGCCTTTATAAATATTGCAATATGCCCAAGGGACATTTTTTTCTTACACAGCATTAATTTTAAAAGTAATCAAATCTCCCAGGAGTGCGATGTCATATGAAGTGATTTAAAGTGTCAGAAGATGAACAGAAAAGTTAACATTACTATTTCATCTTTGCCATTTTCTCCATTATGCCCAAACTTTACAAAATGCAATAATGCACGTAGGAGATCTGGCAGTCTGTTGTCTGTCCATCCTCAGTCACAAAGGAGGGAATCAAGAATAGAGCAGCTGCCGGATTTCTGAACCATCTTGTTTTTATAGGCTCTTACATAAGCCTTTTTTCTTCTGACTCCGTATTTACCAAGTCAAGGGTCTATCTCATTGTTCCACTAGTGCACTACCTGAATTCACAGCAAACTAATGAAATATGGCAATAAGTCTTATTAGATGTTGTATGTGGAACATAGCTCAGTCCCAAATGCTCTCCTGAGAGTGCCCCATCCCTCTCAAGCAGATATCAATGAGAATAAGATTATATGTGGCAAAAGAGAACAACAAACTTTTTCAAAATGGTGATATCTAAATTGCATGGTGCAAATGCTATTCTTTGGGAAAGTGAGATTTTTCAGATGATCTCTGTATAAAAACACTGATCGGATGTGCGAGTAGAGTGAACGAAGCGCTCCCACCCTCATTCCTGTGTCTCCCTCCTTGTTCCTGGCAGGAATCTAAGTGGGGAAAGGCTACAGGGGTTGCCTCCCTGCTTTCAGATGCTGCAGCTGATGAGCTTCAATCATTAGTCTGACCTGGGTCCAACTAATGTAAAGGATTAATTTTCACACTTTGGTCTGAAGGGAGAAGATGCTGTGAGAGACTGAAAGAGTTAATGTCTCAAACATTGTGGTGGGGCAAGTTCTGCTTGAAGACAAACCCTACACAGCAAGGAGCCAAGGTGAAAAGCCCATCAGCTCAGACATCAGCAACAGCAGGGGGGGCGTGCTGGAGGGTGCGCAGCTCCCTGTTCTGATAAGCTGTTCTGATACAAATATCAAACGATGGCCACGTCTGCAGGGAAGGACAAGTTACTCCCCAAACGACCCCCAAGCCCAAAGGCTCACGAACTGCTCATTAACCTGTCGAGTTCGGGTGCCCACCCAAAGGAGGGGCAAGGATGGTAAAAGGACACAAACTGAAGCCCCGGGTGCGCAAGCCCACCGGGACTGGACCCATCGGCTGACTGGACCAATGCTGGACCCAGGACTGGTGAAATCTTTCTCTCTTCCTTTCTCTCTCTCTGTCTTCCTCTCTCTTTCCTTTTCTTTTTCCACAATCCCTACACCTCATCCATTTGAAGACATAAACCGTTGACCAAGTCTGAGACTAGGAGTAGATCCAGCCGCCCCTGGGCCCTTCTCTGAGGAGGAGTCTGGAAAGCAAGGGGGTCTGCTCTGAACCTCCTGACTCAACGGGAGGGATCTCCTTATTCCCTGAATTGATGTATATGGTTACCTTGGGTTACATGGTTTACAGAAGTAGTTATGCCAATTCCTGTTGTAAGAAACCCTGCCGCCTACTACTATGCCTCCCCAGTTCAGTTTGCTTCTGTCATGAATAAAATCCTTAACTGATCGTTTGGTGTCGTTTCACCTTAATTTAGCCCGAGGGAATTTCGAATTCACCACACTCCCTGGTCTGTCCAGTCTGGGTCGTGACAGATGCAGGGTTTTAAAAAGCATGTTTCTTGCCTTGCCATGGGTGAGGTACCTGGCTCATTTGTCCTTCACAATTTGCAGCTCTAAGTGTTTCTGAAAGCATTAGGACTGCCTCTCTGCTGTATTGCTTCCCATTGTGTAACTGCTGGATCTGTGACATGTCTTTGAGCGGGCCTGTTTGCTTGCCACATTATAATTAGGCTGACATTATAACCCATTCAAGAGCTACAAGCAGACTTTCACATGCTTCTGTCTACCAGAAGAAATGTTCATCATGGTTGAAACCTCTCAGGCTTCTCCTGGCTCTCGAGAGGCTCAGCACTGGGCCAGCATGAGCTTCCTCGGCGCTGTCAGGAATGAAGTGTTTCTTGGCATCTGCAGAAGCTGAATGCTAGGCACCTGGAGAACTTTAAAATTGAAATAGGTACCTACTTAGGTTTAAGAGCCTTCAGAGTTGGGCAGCAGCTGAGCAGAGGTTTTTTAGTATCACTGTTTGTAATTGCAGCTAAATTCTGCCTAGCTGCCTGCTTAGATACCTAAATACTTTTTTGGGATCTGGCCCTAAGTTGGTTTTTTTTGTTGTTTTGGGTTTGGTTTTTTTTAACTTTCTTATGCACTAAATAATAAAGAGCAGGCAATTAAGAAGTCTTGCTTAACTGGGTTAGCCTCTTGAAGAGAGCTACAAATCAGCCTCGTTTCCTCCTCCTGAGAATCGTTAGATCATTTGTTACAAGGGTGAAGGGAGCCCCTGCAGCATTTCACGGTAGAAGTGTGTAGGGCTGCTCTATGGAGTGCTCTGTTCAGTTGTTTACAAACCATGTGTATAGATAGAGCATCCCAGTCGGATGTTTAGTTTGAAAAGCGATATGTCAGTTGCCATTTAATTAGGACTCTACAGCCCACCTTTCTCAGATGTGCTGCTTAATAAAGCATTCCCTGATTGGGAATATGCAGATGCTGTTGGTGGAAGAAATAGTTGCCTTTTGTCAGAGTGAAAGGACTTCGCCACCTCTAACTCGGAGTTATGGCAGCCGGCTTGGACCCCAGGGCTTAGCCGTAAGGACAGAGGAGACAAACAGGCTTCTATTCTCCTTCCAAGCAAAATGCTGTCAGCGAGGGGTGTTGCTGTGCTCCCTGGCCCGGGAGAGGAAATGTTTCTCCATCACTGCCTGTGTATCCTGCTCATGTTGCTTCTTGGGTTTTCTCTGCAAGAATTTCAAGAACAGGTGAGCAACTTCTCTTTGCTGCTTGCTTGTTTGGGCTGGGATGTGAGGGCAACAGCAATCAAAAATGTTGGTGTTTAATACCTCTGAGAGAGGCCTGCAAGGATCAAGCTGCTTAGAGTGAAAGAGCGTGGCTCATTCTCTGGTGGTGCAACCTTCTCTTACTTGGAAGGCAATTAGGACTTCTTCACAAAATTAAATACTTCAAGATTGTGTTTCTGCAGAGAGACTCCTCAGTATGCTCTACTGAAATTGTAAAGATACGTCCGAGATAAACTGTAGTGTGCTATTCAAGTGCCCTGGTTTAGTCTTTAGTGTAGTTAACTACTTCCTGTCTCTCTAATGTACTGCTGCAAGCTTAAAAAAACCCCCTCAAACCCTCACCAAAACTGGTGGTGCTCAAGGGAACTGTGGTACTGATACACTTGGAGAATTGAGTTTTTTATTCATACCGAGCTATAGTAGCTATGCCAGTGCTCTTAGCTTGTCTGGTTTGTTTGCCTCAAGTGTACCTTGCCAGAGGTGACAATTCTCTGTTTCACTTTGAAATATGAAAAATGAGTTTAGAAGAAAAAATTAAAAATTAAATTTTTAGAAAAGCTAACATTAATGAAATAAAACACCAAGCAATGTTTTGTTGGACCCACATCCTCCAAAAAACCTGAAATGCATTATATATTGTATGTACTTTTAAGACAAAAGCACAATGTTTCTTCTAGATGCTAAGGATAATGCGTGTGTATGTGTATAGGGGCAAGGACTGTTTAACAGGTGAGAAAATTCCATTATGAGGGAAAAAGATGGACTTTAATAGTCAGCTCTCTTATTCCTGACTTTGTGACTATTATCTCTATTCAGTAGTTTGCTTTAGCTTTGGTGCAAGCAAAAGCCATTCTACTGTATTTTCCCCATCCTCTGGCTTTCTGGGAAGCAAAGAAACATCACTGTGAGCAATATACTTCCTCTTTATGTTGCTTCTCCCAGATAGTTTCAGGGTGCTGGTTTTACTCACTTAAAGACCTCCTTTTTCATTAAGGCAATCACATCCTATAGCACAGAGATGCCCATGGAGTAGGGAACCACGTCAATGAATCTTGCTCCCCACAGGAGACTAAACAAGTTGCATGACTTAAGCCCATGCATGAATGGCAAAAATTCTGGCCATGATCTTGAGCTGATTAAGCCCACAGCTTCTGCATCTCCAACTCTAAAAGAAATAGTGGTGATAGGTCAAGTAGTCATTGTGGAGATTAGTGCATTTGTATATAAATATTTTACACGTTTTACTATACAACGTATTAACTCACTAAGAATTAACTACTTGCTTTCCCACTTGTACTGAGTATTCTGGTTTTGGCATGGGAAAAGAGTGATGCCATAGACAACTGAGAAGACCTGGCTAAGTGTTATTGATAGCTGCATTTTATTTACCGAGGGACTGGTAGTACTCTAGAAGTATTTTTCTAACCATTTCCTTCACCATACACACACGTTCTTCTGATAAGCAAAGAAAAGCTAATGAAAAGCCTGTGATAATGAAATCACAAGAGCAGTATGAAAAGAAACTGGGAAATGCTGACAGTCTTGATTATTATAATAACCTAGTATAGGAGCAAATTACATTATCACTAATATACACTCTTGGCAAAAGGAGTAAAAAAAAAAAACAAAACCCCAAACCCCCACCCAAGCAATTGTTAAATTGTTAAACACCTTTATGAAACTGTGTGTTGCAGCAGCAAAAGAACTTTTCACTTGCATTTAACGTATATATTTAGAGTTGGGAACTAGTGTGTGGTATTAAAAATGTGGCAGCATTTCTTGTAGTAAATGCTTTCTGTCATTTAAGCCAAAGAAAGGATTTGCATTGCCCCATTTCTGCAAACGAGTGTTCATCAAATGCTCCTGTAGTCACTAATCATACCCAATAAAACACAAGGAGTGTTACTAACTGAATTCTTATAGTCAAGCAGCGGGAAAGGAGGAGGAAGTAAAATGGGTGCAGCTCAACTGGATGCAGTACTGCAATTACTTTGCTTCACGAGAAGTTATCTGAAGTATCCTACCTGAGAAAGATGGATTTGCCATGTTTGGTGACAAAACTGTACAATTGCGATAGAGGTCTGAGGGTGAAGCAGGAGTGTAAAATCATTTCTGTTTTCCTGCAGATTGCAATATCTGAATGCAGGACTGGGAGGGGGAAATGTTAGCTATGCCAGCAGGGATGGTTGTAGAAAATCTAGGCATCATTTGTGTGTGGTGAAGTCAGTTTGTAAGATTGGGGTTTTTTTCAAACTAAGAATTAATCCAAGATAAAAACTGATCATAATTTTACTGAGCTAGACCTAGCTTGGACTGGTGTCTCTCTCCTATTAATCTTATAGACGCACATCGGTGCTGACATGAGGGGAAGCAAAGGTAAGCAAGGAGATAGGATTTTTTTTAAATATAGCAATCTATGGCTTAAGTGTCATCAAAAGCCTTAGCCCAACCTTAGGGCTTGTTGGACTGGATCAAACCCTTTGCAGTTAGTTGATGCAAACATGTTCTGCTACAAACTCACTTTGCTGGCTCAGATTTGTTCTAAATGTGCTGCTGGACTAATGTTTTGCTATGGGCTTCATGCCGGACAAGGCATTGTCAGTTTGCCCCCAGCTGCATAAAACTGGCTGACGCTTTATATCATATTCTGGCTAATTCATCAAAAAAGTGTTCGTACGCATGCAGTTCAGCAGTTACAGGTGGCATATCAAAGAATGGAGGAGCACTGTAATATTCTGTGAGCGGCTATGCTGATGACAACAGGACTGATTACAGAGCAAAGTGTCAGTTGGTGCTCGTGAACCGGTCATGGGTCCCCAGTCTGCAGAACAATAAAACCATGTTCTCTCAGGCTTTTTGGTTGCCAGGAGCTGCTGGGCTTCATCCTCAATAGCTCCATATTCACCACTTTTGCTGCAGCCCCAGATTTTCGCAGGGGGAGCAGGGAGTGAGAGTCAATGCTCAGTCTGTGGCCAGCTAGGGACCAAAGAAACCTTCCTGGTGACTGGGAATGGCATTGAAGCTACCCTGTGTTGGGCCAGCTGCTGCTACTGTACCAGCTGGAAGCTCAAAAGGAGCATCCCAATGTGCTTTTTTCATATAAGGAGGAGGATGGAAGAGAAAGGCATCATCCAGCATCTGAAGGTTTCAATCTGTTTTCTGCTTTTCCTTTATAGTTACTCCGCAGCTGCTTTGCACTTCCCTCTTAGATGCAACAGGGCCCCAAAATTCAACTGCTGAGATGGAAACACGTTTAATAATATATTACGAAAAAGACATGGTGAAAAATTCCAATGTAGATGGAGGATTTTAGTGCCAGATTGTGCCCTGGGATTCCAATGCATATCTTCCATTAAAGCCATTAAAAATGTTTGCGTTTCAAGGAAGAATTTGGACTTTTGACACAATTCCCTTTTTTTCTTTGGGAGCCAAACATTTTCTGTGGTAACAGAAAATATTATAACAAGGATAGATATAATGCATTTAGGCATTAAAATGAATAACAGTCCTTGATCTGTTTGCTGAAGATTTCAGGCGTGAGATGTGAAAGCTGTTAGTGGCTTGAAGAAAGATACTTGCCGTAATCGGCACTGCAGCTTTGCTTATTTTACAAACTATGAAGGAGAGGACTAGAGAGGTGTCCAGATCCTTGCATCATATGGAGAGGTTCCTATGCATCTCATGATCATAACTTTGGCCAGTGGTTTGCTGTATTTCATTGCCTTTTGAATCGAGAGATTCTAAAATCTCAGGGTAATGTACTTGCCACACACACGAGCTGCTGCCTCCCACTCCAGAGGGGTCAAAACCTCGCTGGTGTGTAACTGCTATATGTATAAGGGAAATGTTAAGCCTGTTTCCTGTACTCCCAAGGTGCTGTATGAATGAAAATGGCATTGTATGAATGGAACACTTCTTTTTTTTCCCCAAACGCCCAAGCCTTCAATTTCTATATTGTTTCAAATTGGAGCAATATAAGTATGTATAGAGAGAAACTTTGCCCTCTGGAAAGGAAATAACTCTCATCCTTCTCTCCCTCCTCAAATATTTGGGGCAGTCTAAGTATGTTTCCATTCCTTTTCTTCAGGAATGAAAGGGAGTGCCTGCCTGCCTCCATCTTGTGCATTTTCCCTGGTGAACGGGGAGAACCTGAGCTCAACCCAGGAGTTTTTGAGCTCCCTGTTGCCTCCTGCACTTCTGGGACTTGCACCATATCAGCTGGAAGCATAGATCATGGTAGCGATGGCACTGCAGCTTTTCAGGAACGTGCCTAGCAGCCCTTGAGTCCCTAGGTCAAGCTAAACTCCCTAGCTGGGCTACGCAGCATCATGTAAGTTGGCGTGAAACCTTTAGAAATTTGTGTGGCAAATTCCACCAGAAACCTACCTTGCTTTAAAGGGTGTTTGTCAAAATTGAGTCGTCTCTACAAAAATGCTGTTTCATCAAAATTGACTTTTTTTAACATTTTTTTTTTGTCCATCAGAGAATTCCCAGCCAGTTCGAACAAACTTATTTTTACCCTTCCTATTCCTTTATATATAAGGCATAGAAAACACCCTGTGTTTATTTCCTCGGGACACCATGTGTATCTTCAGATTTGGTCTCCTCCTTTAGGAAAGACTAATCTGTTATGTTTTTGGCTGTTGAGTGGACCATAACAGCAAAGCCAGGGGGCTTTGCCTGTAAATACTAGCCACAACTAGCTAGGGTGTGGTTTCCAGTGATTTAAATACTTATACAATGGCAGCAGAGGGGGAAACAGGAGTGGGGAGGGGGCGGGGGAATATGATG